GCTCCTCGGGGCTTTGGCTGTGTCCTCCTGTGTGGCGCCCAGCCCTGGGCAGGCTGCTTTGCCACTGTAGCCGTGGGCCCCCTCCACCTCCAGACTGCGAGGCCAGCTCCATCTGTACCCTTTGCACCTTCGTCTTCTCCACGGGTATGAGGAATGGCAGCTCTGCAGGTAGATAACCCAGACTGGTGCGCCCTCCTCCAGGGAGGCTCCCAGATGTGATGTTCCCCACCAGATGCCAAGAAGGACATATAGGTGTTGGCTCTGCCCCTGATGTGGCTCGACCTCCTTCTGGACACAGTGAAGTCTTTAGGGACTGTCTCTAAGCAGTTTCAGCCTTGGGGAGCAGATGCCCACTTAGAAAGGGCTTCAGCTCTCACCCTGCTGGGGCTGGGCCAGAGTTTCCATCACTGGGAAGGGAGGACAGCCACACCCCTTCCACGGCCCAGCCTTCCTTCTTGGGGTGGGCTCCCCAGCTCATGGTCCCCAGGGCCTCCTTGCTTTCTCCTTCTACTTGGTCCCTCCCTTCCCTTGGGGTTCAGGTCCACTTGTCATGGGCCTTGCTGTCCCTGTCTTGGCTGGGCCTCATCCTGGGTGACCCCAAGGGTGGCTGGGGTCTCTCCACTGTGGCTCCTGGCTCTGGGTCCCTCTGCAGTTCTCCCTCCCTGCTCAAAGGCATCTGTGGCTCCTGGGGCCCCAAGTCTCCACTGTACACACTTGCGATCTTCCCAAGACTGCCCAAGCATGGGGCATCTGGCCTAGAATGACAGTGAAGAAGTTGCAAAAGCTGCCCCTGCCCCTGTGCATAGCATGGAGCTGCCTGCATGCAAAAGCCTGGCTCATCTGTGGACAGGTGCTACACTCTGGCCTGGCCTCTCCCTGAGACTCATACGTGGTCTACGGTAAAACTGGGATCAGGCCTCAGAAGGCCCCTGAGGGGAGCCACAGTAAGCCTGGGGAGAACAGAGGGGCCTCACACTGGGGTGGGGGTTTGGCCTTAGCTCCTCCCTGCTATGGCCACTCCTGCTTCTGGGCACCTCTGATCCTCTTAGGCCGCTGCCTTGGGGCCGGAAGAGTCACCCCAGGGCCCAACTCCACTGTCCCTGGTGGCTGGGCCCCTCCTCAGCAGCAATCCCCTCTGGAGTCCCACTGCCCTGCACGCTCACACTTAGTCAGCTCTGTGCCCCCAGACCAAGTCTCATCAGGGCCGTCCATCTCATGCAGGAGGGTCACCCAGGCAAGTCCTAAGTTGCCTGGCCTCCCCTTCAGCACACCTGGCTTGTTGTTCCCTCCTGAACCCCCTGTGTCTGCACCCCCTCCATGTCCAATGTCATTTGGGCCCAGGTAGCGCTGTCCCCGCCATCTCTGACACCCTGCAGTTTTTCCCCCACCCCAGTCAGCTCCAACAGAGCCAGGGCTCCCACTCTTGGAGGGGACCACCCCATGAGCCTTAGGGACCCCTTCCTTGGGCTCCAGCCACACTGTGCCTATGCCTCCAAGTTTCTGGCTCTTGATCCTTGCCCCAAGTGCAGGATCACCTCCCCACCAATAGCTCATGGCTGACTTTCCCGGGCAGTGGGGCCAGAGTCTTGCTCAGTGGGGTGTCTGCCTTGCCCACTGGCCTGTGATTACTGGAAAGAGGTCACCTTCCATCTCCCTGCCCCACAGGGTGAGACATACCTGGAAAGGTGCTGGGTGGGAGACCCAGCTGCTGGGGATGCTGGGCCAGTGCCAGGTGTGAGGGGGCAGGTTCCGGTACCCCATCCACCCACTGCCCACCTGCTGGCTTGGGGCAGTCCCTGTGCTCCTGTCCCCAGCTGCCTCTTCAGGGATAAGTGACAGCCAAGCAGCACCACTCCCTTGGACCCCTCCCTGGATGACCCTGCCCCTGGGCAGGACCCTGTGTTACATAGCCAAGGGGGCATTTGCTGGTGGCTGGCACATGTGGTGCCCCTGGGTTGGAGGAGGCAGTTCTGCCCAGCTGCTGCTGCCCTCTCCCTGGGCGAACCCTGGACAGACCCATGCCTCCACCTCCAGGGGCCTTCTTCGTGAATGTTGCTTGTGGGTGTGGGCACCTCTGGTAGCCAAGCCAAGATGGCCCCTCTGGGGGCTTGTTCCCCTCCACATTATGTCCCTTCACTCAAGGGTCCTGTGGCCACTTGAGGGGCAAATGTATGGACTGCAGGGTAGCTGGGACCAGGGACGTTGGTGGTTGCAGAGAGTGCTCTGGCCTCTGCTCCTGGAGGAGTGACTAGCCCAGCTCCTCAGGCGTCCCGGCTAGCTCAAACTCTGTGGTGTTCAGTGGATGCATGGTTGGGAAGGGTCCCTGTGGTCTATAGAGGGAGGTTGCCCCATGATACCCTGCCTTTGGCCCTAGACCCACTGCTGAGCCTTTGGAGTCTCCTTGAAACTAGGGGAACAAACCCTCTGTAGCCTGCCTTTGGGCTGGGGACACCAGGTAGGGTCGCCGCACAAACTGCCTGCAGGGGGCAGAGTCAGGACGGGGACGGAGGCCTGACTCCCCTTCTGGAACTGTCCTGGAGGCAGGAGCGGCATGGGCAGCTGGGAAGGCTTGGTCCAGTATGGGTGCCAACAGGCCCTTGGTGGGGATAGGGGGCAGGGCTGGGGGGCTGTGGAGGAAGGAGGGGACTAGTGTCCTGAGCCAGGGAGCATTAAACAGTGGATGTAGCTGGCAGGGGCAGCCCTGATCTCAGGGAGCCCCACTCAGAATGGGAGGCTGTCCAGGGTCTCCATTGGGGGTCTCTGTGGGAGGATCTGTACTCTCTGAGCACCTGGGTGGGGACCAGGCCCTGCGGTAGAGCCTGGGGCTGTGTGTGGGGGGAACAGAGAGCCCCTGCCCAAGCCCTTGGGCTGAGCCCTGGGCCCCTTAGAGCCAGAACAGACACAGGAAATGGCCTAATTGCATTTGCACAGGAACACCAAATCCCTCGCAGCTGCACAGGCCCGGGCGGGGTCGCCAGCGCCAGAGCCCTGACAGCTCCATCAGAGCGTGCCAAGGGTCTGGGCCTCCGGCCGGGGGCGCCTTTCCCAGGCCAAAGGCCCCCACCTCAGCCCGGCAGGGCGGCCCCCTTTCAGTTCCCAGAACAGAGCCCAGCTGTAGACGGGGCATCCAAAGGGCCGCATTACTCACATCCTGGGCTGCTCCAAGGGGACACTGTGTGCTGCCCCCCGTTCCTACCGACCCCAGAACACAGGCCAAGCCTCAGGTTGGGCAGAAGGTGGGAGAACAGTGAATGCCTGTGGCCCGTGGGGCACCCCAGGGGTTCTTGGAGCAGGACAGGACCTTCCATTTAGTGTCACTGTTCCCAAATCTAAGTTTGCATACGTATGTCTGTGGTTCACACCTGAGAACATGTGTGCTCCTTGTGTGTGGAGTGCTGGTGTGTGCGCCTGCGTGGGCCTGCGTGTGGGTCAAGTGTGTATGTGTGGGGCCGGAGTGCACAGGTACCTACCATCTGCGGGGGCTTGTGTGTCAGGCAAGGCCATGCATGGGCCCATGTAGGGCTGTGGGGGCGGGGGAGACTTGCACAACCGAGTGTCCTTGTGCCTTCAAAGACCCTCTAGGACTTGGTGGAAGAGTCTGGAAAGAGCTCCCCTGTGACAAAGCCTGAGGAGGACCTGGTTTCTATCTCAGCCTGCTGTACATACACACGGTTCACATGCAGCCACATACACACGCAGCCATGGACGGGAAAACAGGGAGCCACAAGGCCAGCCTCACCCTCAATGCACGCCTCCCAAGTTGCCCAGGAGTGGGCTAGGGGGCACCCTTTCTCCACCTGCCCCAACCTGCAGGCCCATTTGCAGGGCTCTGCACCCAGCCTCTGCCTGCCCAGCGTGGCTCCACCGACAGCCTGCTGAGGCAGGAAGCCGCGCTTCATCTGCCTGCTGATGGGAGCCAGGTGTGGGGAATTAAGTGGCTTCCTTGGGCTGGGAGTTGAAGGCACTTCTGAGGACAAGGCGGCGGACAGGCTGGGGGTGCGGAGGTGGGGTTTGCGTGGCTGGGGTCCCACGAGGCTGCGGTGGGGGAGCAGGCCTTGAACCCGGGCCTGTGGAAGGGCCTGGCTTTTGTCTGAGAGGCTTAGGAGAGACCTGGGGGAGATTAGATCATGTGCTGGCCGTGCGCTGCCTGGTGGGGGACTGGGGCCCAGCAGGGAGTGGACTGTGGGGTCATGAGGCGGACACCGGCTGGGAAGAGTTGACACCATGGCTGGGAGACCCCAGCCCTGTACCTACCATTGGCCTGGGCCCCCTCCCTGGCCTGGGGTAAAGCACAGAGACCCTGCACCCCTCTTGGGCTGTAGGCCACTCCTCTGTCTATCTCCTGGCCCTGTAGTGAAGGTGTCAAGGTACTCTGAGGGCAGAAGCCTTCCCTTACCTCAGTTTCCCTGTCTTTGGAACCCTAGCTGCAAACCCACAGGGTTTTTCCTCTGAGCAGGGCAAGTGGTAGGCGGGGGAGCCCGATATAGCTACTGCGGTGAGCCCCTCTTTCCCAGCCTTGGCCCTGCACAGGGCCACCTTCTCCCAGCACACCATGCTCTGGCTAGCTGGGGGTCACCTAGTCATACTTCTGGCCGAGGCTGTATGGAGCAGTGCGGGGGGTGGGGGAGGCAGTCCCTGTCTGTACCCACAGCATCCCCTGGCTAGAGCTGAGGCCATAGCAGCTAGAGGGAGGTTAGTGGAAGGGACAGAGGGTCATGAGTCCCATCTTTGGGTTTCTATAGGCCTGTGGGAAGTTGGAGGGGCCTCCACCCCGTGTGGTGTCCAGATGCTTCCAGCGCTCTGGGCCCTCCACCTGGGCCAGAGGGCTCTGGTGGGACTGCTTGGCCAGCCTCTATTTTAAAGATGGGTGAACTGAGGCCTGGAGTGGGGTTGTGTGGTCTCAGCAAGGCCTGCTTGGACAGGAGTAGGGGGCAGAGTGGCACCCTGTCTCAGCAGCAGTGTGACTGTCCCTCTGTGTCCCCCTGTGTCCCCCACCCCAGGCTTACCACCCAGTGGAGTGTGGAGGACGTGGAGGACGCCACACATGAGCAGTGTCGGCATGAACATGATAGGCAGCTACAAGCCCAGGACGAAGATGGAAGTGGCCAGTCCCTGGAGCAGACAGAGCAGGAGACACTGTGAGCACCCAGGGAAGAAGGGGATACTGGTGGTCAGGCCCTGAGCAGGGGTCTCAGTGCCGAAAGGGGACAAGTAGGTTGGTCTGCCCAACAGGGGCATGGTGGTCAACAGCCTGAGTGACCCTTCCTAGCCAGCCCACTGGGGCTCTGCCTCAAGTTCTTGGTTCCCTGCACGTCCCAGCCCTTGCTTGGACCGACTCTGACCCCAGCTGCACAGCCCTGGCCCCCAGGTCCCCCACCCCAGCTCCCTGCTGCCGGTGACTCACAGAGGCCACGTCCAACTTGGCGGCCACAGCCCAGCTCGCTTCCTCCCTGGGCCCAGGAGGCCTCGCGGCTGGGCTGGGCTGTTTTCCCAATGACGCCCCTTCCTCCTGGCCCTGTTTTGTTCCATTTTCTCCGAGTCAGCAGCTTTGGGTGGAGTGAGGTGCTGCAGCGGTCACGGCCCCTCAGCCAGGTCCTCAGTCACCCTGGGCCTGAGAGCCCTGACTAGCCCCCAGACCCTGCTCCTGCTCTTTGATTAGGTTACCCTGCAATGCAGGAAAGTCTGTGAGGATGGGGCCGGGCAGGAGCCTGGGCCCAGAGCTAGTGGGGGAATCTCAGACTGATGTGGGAGGCACAGCTCTGTCTTTGGGGAGTCCCAGACTGAAGGTGGCCCTGCCAGTCAGGAGTCCCAGGCTGGTGTGGGGGGCACAACTCTGCCTTCAGGGAGTCCCAGGCTGGTGGGGGAAGTCCCAGGCTGGTGGGGGAGGCACAGCCCTGACCTTGGGGAGTCCCAGGCTGAAGTGGCTCTGCGAATCAGGAGTCCCAGACTGATGGGGGAAGCACAACCCTGCCTTCAAGGAGTCCAAGGCTGATGGGGAGGCACAGCACTGCTTTGGGGACTTCTCTGCCTAAAGGGGAGACAACCTACCCTAGAGGAGCCACCTCTATGGCAGTCAGCATCTCCCACACTTAGGGCCCAGGTCTGAGGGATGGTGGGCTGGGTATGGGCAGGCTAAGGAGTGCAGAGGCAGGGTCAGCTTGATTCCCCATCTGCTCTTCAGCCTTAGCCTGGAGCCCTCAGAGGCCCGTGAACTTGAGGAGGATGAAGGATTTGGGGACTGGTCCCAGAAGTCAGAGCAGCGGCTGCACTGGGGGACGGAGGGGATCCTGAGCAATGGAGAGCCCCCTCGCTGTGCGATTCCTGAGAGCAAGCCGGAGGGGCACAGGCAAGTGAGGGGCTGTTATGCACACCCAGGATCCTCCCAATCCCCCAGGCCATACCTTAGTGATAAACTGTGCTCCCCTTCCCACCCAGCTCCCCAAGTGCCCCACAGCTGGGAGGGGAAAGGAGGGAGGAAGAGCAGGAGACAGCATGGAGCTAGTGGGGGGCTGTGGGGGACGGTGAGGAAACTTCATCCCCGGGCTCCCCAGGGCCCCTGGGCCCCATCCAGCCCAGCTGCGGCCGGCCGGGGTGTTGCCACGTCAGCACACAGCTGCAGCCCACTTACGTAATGGAGGCCCCGCGCCCCACCGCCCCTTCCTCCCTGGGGGCTGGCCGATCTCCATTCCCACGGAGGGGAGCAGGTATTTCCAGATGTGCACGCCTGAGAGCCAGCCAGATGTGTGGATGTGTGTGCCTGAACTGAGGCGGGTGGGGGCCCAAAGCAGCCCTGAGGCCAGGGGACAGGAGCTGCTCCCATACCCTCCCCCTGCAGGGTCTCAGCTGCTCTCAGAGACCTGCGGCCCCACCCTATCAGGCTTAGGCCATGCTTAGGAGCCCTAAGCTTGGGGGTTCAGGACCCTCCGCTACCTTGAGTGGCACCAGAGCCTGTTGTGGGCTATCTGATGGGGGTCATTCCCTGTTCCCCACAGACCCCTGCTGGCCCTGAGCTCCAGCCAGGATGTCTTCTATTGCAGGATTCCCCCTCTCCATCCAACAGCTGGGTCCTATACCCTGAGAGACAACTGCCCAACTAAGGCCCTGCCTGCTGCCCATCACTCCTCTCCCTAGACCTCAGTTTCCCCATCTGCCCTTGGAAGGGCACTCTGCACTTTTGAGATGGTGCAGTTGCAGTCTGTCTGCTTCAGAAGCGCGGCGGCAGATTCCCAACAGCAGGGGGCACTTTGGCTCTTCTGGAGAAACCTGGCCGGGCAGCCTCCCCCACCCCCGCACCTGCCTGGCCTCACAGGCTGAGAGCTCCTGAATGGACCCTCTGTGTGGCTGCTGGCTCGGACCCCAGCCCACCTTGGGCGGGTGGGTCTGGTCTTGGCTGGCACGTACACCAAGGAGCCTGAAATCATGGAAAATGCGAGAATTTCCCATCTTCTTCTCCAGGTTCAGTCCCGCTCAAATGCAGAGCCACGCCCGGCCGCCAGCTGGCAGGTCCAGCGTCCCCCGTGGCAGCCCCTCTGCTCAGGGGCCTGGGCCTGCCCTGGCCTCAGCCCAGCTTACCTGGCCCCTGGCACCCATGGACCTATCCTCCCCTAACCCACTTGCCCTCATGCATAGCAGGGCGGGAGCAGGAGGCTGGGCAACTGGGCCTCAGGGTGGTCCCACCAGACTCACAGGATGGTCCCAGGCAAGCAAGCCACCAGGCTGGGCCTATCCAGAAAGCCTGAGTTCTGGGTTCAGCCACAGCCTGGGTGATCCTCTGTCAGGAGAGGTCTGCCTAGCAGGGACTGGACAGTTTGCCAAGGGGCCTCAGGCCTCATCTCAGAGGCCCTGGGGATTACTTTCCACAAGAGGCCTGGGTCTCAGGTTGCTCAGCACTCAAGTAGAATGATGGCCTCTGTTTCATAGCTGGGGAATTGGGACTGGGCTGGAGCCACGCAATCAAGTGGCCCTGGGTCAGCTTTGCCCCCTTCCCACCCATAGGCCCTGCCAGAATGCCTATGGGGATGAGGAAGGTAATGGACCATCCCTGGACGAAGCTCCCCTGGAGGAGGCATGTCTGAGCCAGGAGGGGACTGGCCCACGAGAGACCTGCCAGGATACACCGGGGATGGTGAGGACACCATGGAGGAGGTGACACTCCCCTCAGGGTTCCCAGGCACACCCAGCACTGTGGCCTTATGGGTCTGGCCTGGGGAGATCCTTTGGGCAAGTTCTTCCTATGTACAGGGAGACAGAGCCCTAGACTCAGCAGTCCTGGCTGAGAGATCCAGAGATAGAGCCCATTGTTTCTTAGGGACAGAAGGGGCTGGAGGCCCAGGGAGCAACAATGTTTGTCCCTGGTGCTGGGAGGGGCAGGAGGGTACAAGCAGGGGCTCCCCTGGGTCATCTGGCTTCTCTTTTCCTAGCACCAGAAATATCAGCAGCCCAGGACACCCAGCCCCTTGAGCATGGAGGAGACCCACGAACAGGGCTCACCTCCCCTGAGCCCTACCACCAAGGTGGGTCAGGCTCCAAGGCCTGTCCTCTTTGTCCCTCTCTCAGACTTACGACCCATAGCACAGCCTTACACGTCCAGGAAGACGGGTGGAGTCCAGCCAGGGTGGGTGCTGGCAAGTCCTGGGCACAGAGGGGCTGGGAGGGGTAGGTAGGAGGAGCTGGGGCCTCTGCTGCCCACAGCCCACACGTCTGTCCCTCACAGCTCATCGACAGGACCGAGTCCTTGAGCCGCTCCATAGAGAAGAGGTGTGTGTCCAGCTGCCACCACACTCAGCTTCCTCTAGAGGGGGCTGGAGATGGGGCTTGGGGCGTGGGGCTGGGTAGGGCAGGTGTGTGGGGCAGGGAGCCTGACCTATACCCACCCTCCAGCAACAGTGTGAAGAAGTCCCAGCCTGCCCTGCCCATTGCCAAGATTGATGAGCGGCTGGAGCAGTACACACAGGCTGTGGAGGTAGGAGAGGCTGCCCCTGCTGTGGTCCCTCCTCCACCCATGCACCGTTCACCACCCAGCCAATGGTCTTGCATCTAGCCAGTGCCCCTCAGTATCTTACCTTCCCCCAAATTCTGTCCCCTCCAACCAGCACCCCCCATTCAAACCAGGCTCTCTCATTCAGTCAGTGCCTCTAGCCTTCCTGAGCTCCCCCTGGTAGATACTTCTCCTCCTGGCTAGTGCTCCTCTATTCTCCCACTACCCTTCTCTCTACCCAACACCCTTCTGTTACCAACCAATACAACTGCATCCAGCCAGTACACCTGCATTTGGCCAGTACACTCACATCTGACCATTACCTGACCAGTATACCCTCATCCAGCCAGTATACCCACATATGGCCAGTACTCCATCCAGTCACTGCCTCTGTATGCTGCCCCTGGCCCTCCAGTCCCACCTCCTGACCTGCAGGCTGGCAGGTACACAGCTGCCTGGGGACCACCAGCCTCTGTGCTCTTTAGAATAAGAGGGTGTCCCATGCATAGTGGGTGGAGGAAAGTGCATCTATCAAGAGACCCTCACCCCAGCCTGTACTGGGAAATCACACCCAAGGAAGACCCAAAGAGAGGAGGGGCTTCTGGTGGGGGCATCCACTATGATGGTGCTGGGACTTTCCTCCTCTGCAGACTGCTGGCCGGACCCCCAAGCTAGTCCGCCAGACCTCCATAGAGCTTCCTAGCATGGCAGTGGCCAGTACCAAGAATCGGTGGGAGACAGGAGAGGTGCAGGCTCAGTCTGTGGCCAAGACCCCTTTCTGCAAGGTAAGGACCCCTTCCAGGCAAGGCTGTGCTGGGCTGAGTTCCCTTGGTGAAGTGAGTGCAGGGCAGTCCAGAGTGAAATGCACACGGACAGGACAATGGGCACCTGGTGGGGCAAGGCTGGCTGGCTGAGCGAAGGAGGTGTTCCTTCCTCTCCTTGCACTGCCTCTTCTGCTGGGATCAGCATGCAGAGATGAGGTGCACGGGCCCTGGCCAGGCCAGGTGAGATCCTTCAGGGGTCTAAGCCTGGGGGTTGTCCTTCTTCTGCCCACAGGATATTGTAGCTGGAGACATGAGCAAGAAAAGCCTCTGGGAGCAAAAAGGAGGCTCCAAAACCTCGTCAACGGTTAAGGTAGAGTCTGAGTGTGGTTGGTGTGAGGAGGGCATGTGTAATAGGGGGTGAAGAGGACCTGTCTGTTGGACATCAGGGAGGGCTTTCTGGAGGAAGTGCCATATCCCTTCTGCCACTATCACCTTAATTCTCCATGTCCTTTCCCAGCAGAGCACCCCGTCTGGGAAGAGGTACAAGTTTGTGGCCACTGGACATGGGAAGTATGAGAAGGTGCTAGTGGATGGGGGCTCAGTGCCCTAAGTCCCCCATCTTGGTAAGTCTAGGGAAACCACCAGAGGAGGACGCTGCGTGCAGCACACCATGCTGTGTGCACGGACGCACCGTTCTGGGAAGGTGGAGGTGTGCACAGGGCCATCTTGTCCCTGTAGCAGGCTGCCGGAGTGGACCTTGAGGTGGCCAAAACCTAGAGTTGGCTTAGTCTCCCAACCCCATGCAGATGAGGCCACCCTCATCTTCTACCAGATGTAAATTCCCTGTCAGCTTCACCAGAATCAGTCTGGCTCAGCTTCTGCCCCACCAGGGCAGTGTGAGTCTCCCTCCAGGACTCCTACCAAGTCCCACCTGGGTGCATTAGGGAAGCAAGGGCAGCAGGCACTGTGGGGGTGGTGTTGAAGGAAGTGGTTAGATGCAGCCCCCTGGGCTCCTCACCCATCAGTGGGATGAGGGTCTGTAAAGGGGCCAGGACCTGGGTCTCACCTCCTCTTGTGGCCAAGGGCTGCTTGGGCTTTCTGCCACCCTCCCTACGCCTTGGAGAAGACGGAGAGGTGACATCCCTGCCATGGTTAAACACACGTTTATTAGTGGCCTGGCCCCAGGCTCCATGTACAGCACCCATTAACTACTGTGGGGGGCAGGGGTGTCAGTCAGCCCTACCAACTGCTTCTTTTCCTTTCTGAACCCTGAATGCTGAATCCTGAATAGCTGTGGTTGGAGGCCTTCCCTGGACCTGTGTCCTGTCCCCATGGCTGACTGCAGTCTGGGGGCTATTTAAGTGCCCCTACTCAGGCTTGGCTGGGCTGTTCTCCCAGCCCAGGGTTGAACACGTCTTGCTTACTGGTGTCTAAGCCTGGGCAGTGGCTGGACCTAGCTAAGCCTGGCTAAGGCCCTAGCCCTTTTTCCCATCAGTGAGCCTCTTAGGCCCTGTCCCCAGCCTGGGTGGGAGCAACAGAGGTGAGCAGTGAGAAGGGCCTAGCCTCCTGCCTGCCACAGAGCACCCACACCTGTGCCAATTGCCCCAGGCCTAGGGCCTTCCCCTGCCGCCCTGGCCTGGGGTCTGGCCCCATGCTTGGGAAGCACAGGGGCCAAACTGCTGACACAGCTTGCAGTGTCCGTGGGCAGCATGAGTACTCCCACTTCTCACAGAAGCAGAATTCTGGCCCCAGATCCTCAAAAGCAGATGGGGCAGGGCCTGGCCCAGAGTTCTGGGGATCCCACCTTCTCATCACAGACTTGTGAACCCTCCATCTTACCAAATTTCTCTCCACAAGCTCCACCTTAAACCACAATACAGACCTCTCCACATGACTGGCCCCCCAAGAGCTTCCTGCAGGCCCACCACTCCAGCCTGTCCTTCCTGCTCCATCCATTGGACCTTCCTTTCCTGACCTTGCTCCGCACCCCAGCTTGCCCTTCCCGGCCTGCCCTGTACCTCATGGCTCCATCTGCTCCCCTCCCCAGCTAAACCCTCAGTCCCCCTCCAGTCCACCCCATGGTCCTGGGCCTGGGGCTACTCTAGCCCTTTCATTGGAGCCTCCAGCCGGCTGCTGTCCGGTTGAAGTTCTTGGGTCGGGGGCTCAGCTCCAGGAGGGTGTGGGACGTGGTGGGGGGCCGGGCCGCCTCCTGCAGCTTCCGGGCGTTGAAGCGCGGCTGGCAGAGAAATGGCAGGCGGCTGAGGCCTGGCAGGCTCCGCTCCCGGTTTCTGGGGCCTGCTGGGAGGCCGTGAGACTCAACCACTGACATGCGGTACAGTACCGCATCCCACATCCTGGAGGCCCGGGATGCGGGGGGCCGCGGGGCGGCAGGGGTGAGTGCCTCCCACTTTGCGGGCTCTGGGCTCTGCCTGGGCCCTGAACAGGGGTGCTCTTCTGCCTCCTCCATCAGCTGCTTCTTGAGGCGCGTCCAGCCACTGAGCCGGGGCTTGGGTGCGACTGTGGGGATGGGGACCAGGTGGGGACCTGTCGGTAGGGTAGGGGATGAGGCCCTTGGGGGGCTGGACACCTGCTCTACTTCAGCGGCAGAAACAGCTGTGGGGGGCTTTTCCACATACTCAGCCTCGGGAGCCACAGAGGCCAGGCTATGGGGCGAGGGTCCCTGAGAGCGGCGGGTAGGAGCCACGGGAACTACCACTCTGGTGCTAACCTCTCTGGGAGCTGAGCCCTGGAAGCTGGGTGGTGGCCTTGATGCTGGGGGCTCCTCAGGGTGGGGACTGGCAGCCTGGGCCCCAGCAGGCAGAGGACGGATGTGAGCCACTGGGGCCAGGGGCTGGGCCCTGGCAGGGCACAGGGCTGCGTCTCGGTACCAGCTGCTGAGCCCCCCTTCTGGAGCCATCCTGGGGGGCTCAGAGGTCTCAGTATGTGGGGATGGTGCCACATGGACGTGCATGTGAGTGATATGGGTGCTTTCCATGCCGGAGACTGAGACAGGGACAAAGCCACTGGGAGGCTGGGAAGGTTTTGGGGCTGTGAGTTGGGGCTCTGTGGCCTTGAAGTGAGTGGCCAGAATCCCGCGCTGGGTGAGGCCAAGGGAGAAGGTGGACTTCTGCAGGGGGGATGCCACGTGGTGGATGACAGGGGTATGTGGAGAGTAAGGTAGGGTAGCCACTGCATAGGGGATGTCTGCAGGGCATGGGGCTGTGATGTCCTGGTCATGGCTGGCCTCACTCACAGGGGACAGGGAGGTGCGGAAGGCCCCAAGTGGGGCGGGAGGCCCAGTTCCCTTTGCCTTCTTCCAGGCTGCCTTCCTCAGAAGTTTCTGCAGACGTAGGTTGTCTTTCCCAGGCTTGGGTAGCAGGGGTGGTGGGGGCCCAGGTGGTCCCTGGAGTCTTGGGCCATCTGCCATGGAGGACATCGATACAGCTGAGATGAGCATCCCTGTGCCCTAGGGACAGAGGCAGGGCGATCAGGCCAACCCACTCCTCCCTGTGAATAGGGCTTGTCGTCTCTCCAGTATGAGGAGGACCTAGGTCTGGGATGCGGGGGCCTGATCACAGAGCTCTGCTTTCTGACTGTGGAGCCTGCCCATGAGTTCTGAGCTAGGGTGTGTCAGCAAGCCTGTGCGTAGTGTTATACCATCACCTGGGTACAGAAACAAGGCCACAGAGGCCCGAGGTCACTTGGTGGGTGACCAGGGCAGGGACCTGCCTCCAAGGTTGTGTCCCGACACCGCCCTGGCACAGAGCAGTGTGCGGGATGGAGCCAGAGACCCCGAGAGCTCCATGTGGGAGGTGTAAGCCTGGCCGGCTGCTGGCTGCCTCCGGAGCAGGAAGAGTGGTCTGCCCGCAGACACGTGAGGGGCGCCGCGCTGTCGCCGGCCTGACCACAGGCGCGTCCGTCCACTGTGAGCCAGCGGTGAGGGGTGGCGGCCAGCAGGCTCAGGAAGGCTGAGGCTGCATCATCAGAGGTAGATTGGCCGGAAGGTGGGAGCAATTTTTGCTGAGCTATGCTGAATGGGATATTCCCGCAGACCTCCTGGCTAGGGTGGTCCCAGCCAAGCCGCCTGCCCTGGTTTCTGGGCGCCACGTGTTTGCAAGGACATTGACAAATGGCATCTGGGCCGAGCCAGAGGCTGTCTGGTTTTGGGGGAGGAGGCCAGGGGGCTGCCAAGGCAAGAGCGATCTGCCTGGGGAGCGGCCAGCAGGAATCTGACTGGGGCTTGCTCCCAGCTGCTGGCTGCCTCTGCAGGGCAGGGGCTGCAGGAGCAACAGGAACCCCAGATCTAGCTCCAGGGGCTGCCAGGCTGGGACCAGGCAGGCAGCATTGCCTCCACTTGGAGACAGGTCTCGAGCCAGGGCCTCTTGGGTACAAGCACCCACACTGGGAAACAAAGGATGGAGGAGGGAGCCTCCTGTGGTGCTGAGCAAGTGTGGGCAGGGAGGCCACAGGAGTGAGGCCCCTCCTGGACCCCAGCCTCACCCCCCAAACCTCACACTGTGTTTCAGGCTCCCCATCAATATTCCCAGGGGAGATTCCAGCCAGACACCCACCCCCAGCCCTGGCCAAGAAGTTGCTTCCTGTCACCATCCTGGCCCACCCTCACAGCTTTGACACCCCCACCACAGCTCCTGCTTCTGGACCCTCCAGCCTCTCTGCCCTCCCACTCTTTGACCCCAGCTCTGCCTCTGACTTCTTGGGGGAGGAAAGAGACTCCTGATCATTAGCCAAAGTGACTGTCTCCTAGAGAGGCCAAGAACTCTCAGGGAAGGCAGGAGAGCAAGGTGCCACCTGAACTGTGCAGAGGGGGCTGGTCACTCAGCCAGATCCAAGAAGTACCTGCAGGGTGACCTCCAGGCCAAAAGCCAAGACACCTGTGCTGGATGCTCAGGACTCTGTGCCCCTCCTGCCCCTGCTTGCGCCACTGCCCTCCCCATGTCGTGCAATAAAGCTCCTCATGTCCCCATGCGCTGGCTCACCATGCTTACTGAAGGGGGTATGAGGGAGCAGGGCTGGCTGGGAGACACAGCCCCTATACCATGCAGTGTTCTCTGGCCTCTGGGTTCAGGCATTCTGCCCAGCCCTGTGGTCTTCTAAAGTGGTAGGGAGCAGGATATGAGGTCCATGGTGGCCTAAGTTGGTGCCAATACACTAAGTCTGGGTCCAGTCTTCCTTTTTCAGGATGCCTTATGACACTTTTCTCTTGACTGGTTGGATGGTGGATGGATAGATAAATAGATGAATGGGTGGTAGGTGGACGATGGATGGATTGATGGACAGTTGGTGGATGAGTGGATAGATGGATAGATGGATAAGTGGATGGATGGAAGGCCTAATACAAACCTGTGCTGTGTGCGCCTGCTGAGGGCAAAACTCACCTCAGGATCATTGTCCATCCCAGCACCTAAACAGTGCTCAGTGAAGGGTTTGATGAAAGAACAGATGGATGGAGGGAAGGGTGAGTGGAGGATGGGTGGATGATGGATGGATGGATGGATGGGGTGGTGGATGGCAAGATAATGGATGGGTGGTGAATGGATGGTGGATGGATGGATAGGTGGGTGGTGGACAGCTAGATGGTGGATGAGTAGTGGATGGGTGGTGGATAAATGGTGAATGGATGGTGGATGGATGGATGGATGGATGGGTGGGTGGTGGATGGCAAGGTGATGGGTGAGTAGTGGATGGGTGGTGGATGGATGGTGGATGGATGGTGGATGGATGGATGGGTGGATGGATGGGTGGATGGGTGGTGGATGGCTAGATGATGGATGAGTAGTGGATGAATGGATGGTGGATCGATGGATGGATGGATGGATGGATGGATGGGTGGTGGACATCTAGATGGTGGACGAGTAGTGGAGGATGGGTGGTGGGTGGATGGATGGAGGGGTGGGTGATGAACAGCTAGATGGTGGAGTAATGAGTGGGTGAATGGATGGTGGATAGATTGATAGGTAGATGAGTAATGGATGGATGGTGGATGGGTGGTGGATGTATGGTGGATGGATAGATGGATAGACGGATGGTGTGATGGGTGAGTGAATGGATGGTGGATAGATAGATGGGTAGATGAGTAATGGATTGATGGATGGTGGATGGATGAATGGTGTGATGAGTGGGTGAATGGATGGTGGGTAGATTGATGGGTAGATGAGTAATGGATGTATGGTGGATGTATGGTGGATGGATGTATGGACAAATGGATGGTGTGATGGGTGGGTGAATGGATGGTGGATAGATTGATTGGTAGATGGCTCATGGATGAATAGATAGGAGAAAAGTGAATAGATGGATGTTTAGATGAATGATGGTGGAGAGTAGGGAGTGAGGAAGTGAGGAAAGGGAGAGTTAAAGGAGGAAAGAATGTAGTACATGTATATATGAGATGGATGCATAAGAATGACCTGGTAGGTGGGTGAAGGGACCAGTGTGGGCCAGGGGGAATAGAGGGATGTCTTCCCTGGCCCTCTTTCCTCCCCTGGGCCAACACTTGGGCTCATGCTCAGCCTTGCTGCCCTTTGAGGAGCAGGACCCCCACTGACCTCTGATATTCTTGGCCTTGATATTTCCCTGGTTGCTCAGAGCCTCGGTCCTCTGAAGGCTCTGTGGTCACTGTCTGCCTGCCTCGCACACACAGACTCAGAAAGGCTAAGCCTGCACGGAGAGCAGACTCCACAGCCCTGGCCAGCAGTTCCTACCATTGCCAGCCTGGCCCACCCTCATAGCTTTGACACGCTCCTCACCTCCTCTTGCTCCTGGACCCTCTGGCCTCTCTTCCCTTCCACTCTCTGACCCCAGCTCTGCCTCTGACTTTCTGGGGAGGAAAGAGACTCCTGATCACTGGCCAAGGGAGCTTATTCCAGAGAGGCCAAGAACTTCTCATCAGTTTGCCCACAGCCTGGTCCCTGAGAGAGCGTAAGGGTCATGCCCTGCCCAGTTGGAGATCCTCTCCCAGGTGACAGGGGCTGTCTCCCTTCCCACTAGCCTGGATGGGACAATAACCAGGGCCAGCCGGCCAAGCAGGCGGCACAGTGGGTACCCAGCACTGGGCCCAGAGTGGCTGGCACCGAGGGCCAAGAGGCAGCCAGCACTCCCCAACCCCCAGGCCCTTGGCTCAGCCTTGGGGATGAGGACCCAGGGTCTGTCTCTCTGAGAACTGCTCAGCCTCAGCCTTGGTGTTTCTGTTGTGGCCTGTACCCCATGGCCACAAGTGTCCCCACACCCCCATTGCTCTGAGTCTGGAGGTTAGGCCCTGTTAGCTGCAGAGTCAAAGGGGCTGCTGCCCAAGAGGCCCTGGCCAGGAGTGGCAGCCCTGCCCCTCTGCCATCTACCCTGCTTGCCTAGAGCTTGCCTGCCTCCAGCTGATGCTCCCCTGCAGGTCCCCACACAGGGGGCACCCCTTAATATCTGCAGAACGCATAGATGAATCTGCCGTCAGAAGAACCCAAGCATGGGGGGTAGAAGCCGCTTGTGGTTGGAGCCGCTCAGGCCTGAAGTGCTGTGTCAGCTGCTCCTGTCCTGGGCCTGGCAGTGCTGAAGCCCATGGCCAGGCCTACTGGCTACAGGCTGTAACCAGCTCCGGTGCCTGGGTCAGCTCAGGGCATTCTGGAGAGGCTCTAGTGTCCCTTGGGCTCCACCAACCATACACATTGGGTGCTGGGACCCTGATGGAGGGGGCCCTGACCACCCCTGACATCTTGGGGGTCCTTCATGCATGCCACTGGAGCCAAGACATTTGGAGGCCAGGCCCCTCTCCATGGCCCCCTCCCTCTACCTGGTTCAGCTCAGCATTGGTCAGATGTCCCTCCTGCTGCCCTGGCCCTGCGGTCAGTCCCCAGACCTCCTGGGGTGCAAATAAACTCCCACCCCTGCCCCTTGACTCTACCCTGAGTCTTCAGCCCCCTCCTGCCCCTGCCCCTGCCTGCCTTCTCTCTTTCCACTCAACCCTGGCTAGGCCAGGTGGTACCAGGGCATGGAGTACCTGCTGCCGACCCTTGGTGGCCAGCTGATGCTGCCTGCTCCGTGCTGTCCTGCTGCACCTTGGGCTTGGTGTCCTGAGGGGAGGTCGCTGACAGAAATAAGAACTGCCCCGTCCCTCTGACCTCGGCCAGCTCACAGGAGTGTACCTGGCACAGGCTGGGGCCCACTGAGCTGAGCGGGCAGCCACTCTCCCCTGCTGGCCAAGCAGAGCCACTGCAGGGCCTGCTGGTGCCCACATGTAAGCATGGCCCCCGGGGACCCCCAGGCTGGGCAGGGCTCTCCAGGCCAAGCTGCCCCCAGTGCACAGCTCTGTGTGTGTCCACAAATGTCAGCAAAGGACAGGGCACCTCCCGGGGCCCCCAGGAGCCCTCTCAGGTTTCCTTGCTGAGGTGGCTCTGCAGGTGACCCCAGCACACAGGAAGCTGGTCAGGCTTGTCCAGGGCTCAAGGCTGTGTGTTGTCACCAAATCCTTGCCCCTCTGAGGATGTGGGTGGGGAAGGAAGAAGAGCAGGGCTGGAGAGTAGAGGATTCTGATGGGAGGATAAGATGTGGGCCCCGGGTACTCCAGCTGAGGGGCCTTCCCAGCTCAGGTGCCATGGGGAGGTGGAGAGAAGAGGGGCTCTGTCCTGTAAGCCTTGCCCTGTGGCTACAGGCATGCTCTTCCTGCCTCTGGCCCCTGCAGCCTTGTCTCCAACACATAGTGGGTAGGAGAGGGGCCACCAAACCTTCTGGAAACATTTGGAGTCCCATGCCTGGCACAGAGCTGCTGTGGGCAGGGGGCCAGCCATGAGGGCCCCACCAGGTCACCCCAATGTCTTTGACTCACCCTGCCCTGGTCACTGACCCATAGTAGGCACCAAACTTCTCTCCTGAATTGGGCAATTCTCTTGTCAATCAGCCTGTAGGTTTCCAGAAGGAGTGAGGGGCAGGGGCAGGTGCCTCAGTTTTCCTGATCCAAGGGATTAGGGCCACCTAGGCTACAGTCTCACTGGCCAGCATTTCCACTGGGCAGGGCGTCTGCTGGTTGTTGGTGCTACCTGGAGTCCTGAGGACAGAAAGCCCAGGCTCCACAGCTGCTCAGAAATGGGGCACAGATAGCCCTAGGTTGGAGAGACAGGCCTTGAGGGAGGGTCTCAACCCCCAGACAGGGAGCTCCCAGGTGCAGCCAATGGCCTTGGGAGGCACAAGCCAAGTGATGGCCCAAGGGATGGGCTGCTGTGAAGCACAGCCACAGCCCCTTGCCCATTTGTGCCGTATGTCCCAACTGTTCTTCCAGAGGGTTCGGAGGTGATGGGCACCAGCTGAGCCCTCAGGGTCCCCAGCTCCACAGGGGAGGGTGGGTCTGGGGCACTGTGCTGAGGGGTGAGAGCTGTGCAGACCCTTTTCCCGGGCAAAAGGTCAGCTCCCATGGGACACCACAGAGAGAAAGGAAGGGTACTGGGGAGCTTGGGCCCAGCTCTAGGAACCCCACATCAGCCTGGCCCAGGGAGAGCCTGGACACCCTCCCCAAGGGCCAACCAACCATCTTGCTCCCCTCCTCAGCACGCCAAGAATGTGCCCGCTGCTGGATGTAAAAATAGAAGCTGACAGCCCTTGAGAGGCGGGAGGCCCTTGTCCCCTTCTCTAGGCACGTCCCTCCGTCTTGGCCTCCTTGAGCCTCCTCCACTGGCCATTCCTATACTTGGTCAGGGGCCTGCATGGGCACAGCCCCCACACCCGGCCACCCAGCTGTTGGCCAATGGGCTGCTGGGAAAGATCGGATGTCACTATAACACGAGGGCCTGAGGCTGGGGGCAGTGCCGCCCTGTCCTGTCCACAGGGAGCTCCAGCCCTCCTCAGCCCCAGCCCGCAGGTTGGTATGGGTGAGAGCAGCCCAGAGCAGCCAGGCCTCCTGCCTGTATCTCAGGCCATGCTGGGTCCACAGCACCAGGTCCTGGGGCAGCCTGAGGCCATATGCCCGAGGCAGGTGTGATGGCTTGGGTGCCCAGGCAGCCTACCAGGACTCTGATGCTATGCCATCACCATCCCTGAGCATTGCCAGCAAAGGGAGAAGGCTGCAAATGGGATGAGGGTTATGGGAGACCAGGGAAGGAGGAAGGTGGGGTCCCTGGAGTCACCCCCAAGCAGGAGCCAGGAGAGGTGAGGAGCGTGAGACATGGCCTCCTGAGTCTGAGGGTCCCTGCCCAGGCCCACCGGGCCTTCTGCAGAGCTCCTGAGTGAGGCCCTCGGCTTGGAAGGCCCACATCACCTCAAACTTTGCCCTTCTGTGGAGGCAAGATCTGAGGCGAGAGGGGGGTGGGCTGGCCTAAGGTCACTGGGAGCGAATCTGTGGGTGCTATCTGGAGCCCAGGCAGCCTTGGGGTCCCTTATGCAGAGCTCTGGATAGAGGTGTGCCAGATGGGGGTGGGGAGCTTGGCTTGGCTATCTTTGCCTGTGGCTGGGAGAAGCAGGTGCTAAGAGGCTCCTGCCCTGGGTGCCATCCTCCTTCCACTTGCCATCTGACCAGGGCTCTGTGCCTTCCTGAAGACTTGGGACGCATAAGAGGACAAGGGACAAGGTCGGAGTCAGCCTGGGTGTGGTCAGGGCTCACAGTGGGTGAGCTAAGATCCCTTAGCTGCCCTGGGCCTCACCACCTTCTAAGGAGGGTGGGAGGGCACTTGTGCTCAAGGAGGCTGACCTCACCAGCTATCTTCAGGCACCCTCTGAGGGCAGAACACTAAATCAGACAACTGTCTCCTTCCCAGCTGCTGAGGTGCCCCTCCCTTCCTCAGGCCCCCTCTGTTTGGGGGACCTAACAACAATTGCACAGGGGCGGGAGCAGAGCTAGCTCCATGTTGCCTTCAGGCACTCGGCAGAGAGCAGGTATCTCAGTTTTCCCACTTAGAAGTAAGCCTCAAGGGTCCCCATGGTGCATATTTAAACTCTGGTCCAGAGGACAGGTGAAGAGGGAAGAGCTGGGCCGCCCTGAGTGCCCAAGGAGAGGAGAGGGTCGGGGAGGCTCTCACAGCCCCACACATGCCGTCTAGAGTTTCTGGGCAGAAGTGTCTTCCTAATTTTGGTGCCTATTTCTGGACATCTCAGCTGCCATCGGCTCCTTATAAATAACCCAGCTCTGGGCGTGTGCCCTGCCCCCCATGCAGCTAACAGGTGTTGGCTTTGCCTAGGTTAAGGGTGAGCATAGCCGGGGAGTTGGGGGTCCTTCACCTTACAGACAGCGGCTCCAAAGGAGGCCGTGGGGTCTGAACCCTGAGCCAGCCAAGAGGGTGGCACCCAAGAGCGAAGACAGAACTACAGACCTGGGCCCTGAGCACAGGGGCAGGAGGCTTGGGCAGCACAGCCTGTCCAAGCCAAGGACCAAGCCCCTTGCCTAGTGTATGGCTGACAGGCTGTGACTTGAGGGGCAGCGGCCCCTGGGAGTGCCTCTGGGAAGAGGCCCACAGATGTCTGCTACCTAGTTCTGCATGGAGTTCAGCTTCTCTGGGAAACTGAACATTCTTGACGGAGGGTTTAGAAAATAGTTTCCACCTTGATGAGGGTTGTGAATGCTCTTTTAGCTGATGAACGTTGTTTTTCTTATACGAGAAAGTTCCCTGGGGGATCATACCTCCTGTCTCTAAGTACCCTGGGCCATAGGCTAATGCAGCTGTCCAGCATCCCCAGGCCGGCGGCTCCCGGTGTGTGCAGTGGCCAGCTCATGGACAGGCCGTTCCTGAGCACGCTGGCCTGAGGCCGCTGCACCTGGGGCACAGAGCTTCCCCGTGGACACTGACAGTTTCAAGCACATTCCTGGGGCCTGAGAACGCAGGGAGAAAGAAGGGGCACTGTCCACTGGGTTCATATTGACCCCATGGGCCTCACACAGGCCCAGGTGGGGGGGGACAATGGACCCTGCTCCAATGAGCCCTGGGGGCTTAGTCTGGAAGGGAAGGGGGTAAAGGGGGATGGAACAGCCGCTGCTTTGGGACTTGGAAGAGGGATGCTCAGTGGGTTATGGACATACAGAAGACTCTGGAGCACCCTGCAAAGTACGGGGCCCAGAAGGAAGGCATGAGGCCCAGCAGGGAGCTTTGGGCTCACATAGGAACAGGAGTTCTCAAGAGGGATGGTGGGGCCGGCAGGGAAGAGGAGGTCTATGTCACCCACTTGGGGAACCTGGCTCCATGGCCATCTAGGGCTCCAGGGGAGACCCTGGCTTAGGCCCACTGGGCAGAGACCACCAAGAGGCTGGTTCTAGCTCACATCAGTAGGATTTTGCCAGCATCATGGCAGGCTGGTAGACCCTCCCCAGCCTGGACAAGCACTCTGCACTCGAGGGCCCCTTGTCCAGGATGCCACAGAGAGGATGTTTGCCCTAAGTAGGGGTAGACACCATGGCCCACCGACCTATCTGCAGCTCTGGGCTATAGCCAGGGTGGGGGGGTCAGAGACTGGGGCAAGGAGGGTTGGTGGGGAGCCATGGGGATGTCCCCACACTTCTGAACCCAAGCGATCCCCCTCTTCTTCATCCCCCCCCACAGAGACAGCCCAGCCACCACCATGTCTGACGAGGAAGCGTGAGTACTCTGTCTAGAGAGTTTGCTGATGTTTGCTGCAAACCTGCTTATAAAGTTCCTCACTCCTCTCTCTCTCTCTCCTCCCCCCACCCCACCCTGCCTCACAGCGAGCAGGTGGAGGGTAAGTGACTCAGCTGTCCTCTTTTCTCCTGGATGACCAAAGGTCACATGTGGGAAGGGGTGTGGGTGCCTGGCCTGGGAGCCCTGGACAGGCAGCATTCTGTGGGTAGGCTTCAGCTGACTCCCTCAGCTGGGGTAGGGCTTGCTCTATGAGTGGTTGTGCCCACTCACACTGAGAAGCCCAGGGGCCCCTGCATGTCCCTCTCTACATCTCAGTAGGACATGGGCACCCAGGACACATAGCCCTTCCCCAAAGCCACAACCATTGCCAGAAGCTTGGCCTTCTTTGGTGCCAGCAGCCCCCTTTGGGCCCGAGGACCCCTACCCCTGTCCCTGTCTAGCTAGGAAGTCACTGAACTGTCCAGGGATGGGCATGTTGGCAGTCTCCCTTCCATGCCGTCCCCCCTGATGTGGCTTCTCTTTGTTCTATCTGATACAGAGCAGTACGAAGAGGAAGGTAATCTCAGGGCCCCTGGAGGCCCCCTGGACTTGGCCCCTCTGAGCCTCACCCCTCCTCCTGTGTGGTGCCTGTATCCCCCCACCCAGGCCTTCTCTGGTCCCACTTGGACTTGGCCTTAACTCTCCCTCCTCCTCAGCATCTCATTACTAACAGCCGCACAGATCAGTGGTTTGATTAACAATGCCAGCATTTCATTAATGATTAATTACTTAATCATTAACTAGTCATCACTGACCTCCCATCTCTTTAATCAATTAACACACACTCACTGATTCCTTAACACTTCACTATCTGTGTCCACGGGTGTGGGTCACTAGATCAGACTCACGCCAGTGTCAGGTGCCCTTGTGTGCTTGGCCCTTCCGTCTCTCGCATCCCCCGTCTACCTCTCTCTATCTCTTTGTGTCTCTTTCTCAGTGTCTCTGTTCTCTCAGCTTCACTCATCTCCTGCTCTCTTTGTCTCCCCCTGTCGCTCTGTCTCCATCTCCATCTCTGTCTGTCTCAGCATCTCTCCACGCCATCCCCAAGCCTTGGGTGGAGTCTGGGGACCCCTCCCTCTGGTAGGCTGGGTGTGGTCCGTGGGTGGCTCTGTCATGCCTGGGCAGGCGTGGGCGGGTGGGGAACATGGGCGCAGGCGCACCTGGGAACAGCACAGACCTGGGTTCTCAGGACACGGCCCCACTCTGGAACCCCTGGCACGCGCCCAGCCTGGGAACATGCCCCCGCAGCTCACAGCCGCCCTGTAAGGGGTTCTGGGTGCTGTGTTTTGAAAATATTTTAAAAGCACTTGGCTACCCTAACAACACAGCACAACCTTTCTTCAGCTGGAAAGGCAGAGAGACTCACTTCTGAGTGAAAAATGTGGCCACAGGGTAGCTGTGGCATATGTCCTCAAAGACCCTCAGGGCTACTTACTTCCAGGCACACTCAGAGGATCCTGTGGGGACATTCCCTGTGGGATCAGGGCCAGCAGCACAGGGTTTTCTTGAAACACTTGTGCTTGGTGTCTGTCCTTGCCTCCACCACCTGGAGCACAGGACTCAGGTAGAGCCTCCACGTGTGGGGCAGCTGGGGCTGTCCCTGAGGACTCAAGGCAGCCAAGCCACCATCTGGGGGGCAGACCGGCCTATGAACCCTTGCTCCCCAGGCTGGCCATGGCAGCCCTCCTCGCCAAGCTAAGCGCCCCATCTAATGACTATCCTTCTTCCCTCTCTCTGCCCTCCTGCTGTCTCCTGCTCCTGGTTTCTCCCACTTTCAGAGGAGGCCCAGGAGGAAGGTAAGTGGGTCCAGGACCCTTGGCCCCCATGCCAGCCCTTCCAGCCTTCCTGCCCCACAGACCACCACCTCACGGTGACACCGCTGGGTTGTGGCCCCAGCCCCCTGCTCTAAGGACGTGCCGTGTGCCCCTGTCTAACCCCTCCTCTCTCCTCTCTGCCGCCCTTGCACCCTGGCTCTCCTTCACTTCAGAAGTCCACGAAGAAGGTACGAGGACACAGGACTTCTGGTCCCCATGTGGGGCCCAGGGCCTGGCTGGAGCCACGTGGGGTGGGGAAGCTGAGAGGCACCAGTCAGCCAAGGGGCCCCCACATGTGGCCCCCGTGTAACTCACTAACCAAGATGATGCCTGGGCCCTGAGGGTGCGACCCTTTCTCTCTGGTCCACAGAGCATAGCCAGGGGCTCCTCCCAGGAATAGGTGCCCTGTGCACAGGGGCACTGAGACCATGGGAGCGGATGGAGGCTGAGCATGGCCCCCTGCCCCAGTGGGACACTGAGAGCCTGGGGACATCTGGTCTTAGGGTGGGCCAGATCTTGGGGAGAAAAGCCAGATGGAAGCAGAGCCAGGGCACTTAGCCATGGGGGTTAGCACCCAGCTCCCCAGCTAGTTTCCTTGGGTAGTCCTTTGTCACAGCCTTCTGTTGTGGGGTACCTTGGGGGCTCTGGCCAGGCGAGGGGTTGGAGACAGAGCAGCCATCTGCTCCTAGGGCTGCCAGCTTCCTCAGAGGCTAGAAATAGCCCTGTGAGAGAAGAAAGACAGTGGGTGTCCTACATGTGCCCACGGCCCCCTGAGGCCCTGCCTCTCTGGGATAAAGGCCCTGTCCTTGCAGACACTGGTGCCACTCGACCAGGCTATGGCTGATGCGTGGGCCTTGGAGCCCCAGCCTTGGAGGGCAGCCAGAGGCATGGCAGCCCTTCCGGGCGCCAGCAGAGAAGGGAGGTGGGAGAGCAGGGACTCATCCCCACACGCAGGGCAGTCATGAGGCATGAACACCCCAGACCAGCCCCTGAGCCTTGGTTTCCCTACCTGTGGGGTGGGGCATGTCGGGGCTGGACTCAGGTCTCTGAAGGACCCTCCTGCCCCAAGATTCTGAGGTGTGTAGCAGGATCTGGGACATGGGCTCAGGCGCAGTAGCGACACCCAGACTAACTCTGACCGTATCTTGCACGCTTTCTGCACGCACCCTGCCCCTTGGCCTCGAGTGGCGACTGGCTGTTTTTCCATTAACCTCGGATCCCTTCTCCTTTGACCTCTGACCTGTGGTTTTTGCCTCTTGTTCCACGGCCCTCCTTGGCCCATGAAGTTCATGAACCAGGTATGTGACATGACTTCAAAGCCACATGGGCGCATGTGGCCAGTGTGGGTGCTCACAGGAGCCGAGAAGGAGCAAGAGGCCACGTAACCCACTCACACCTGGTTCTGCTTAGACCCTGCCGCCCCTTCCCCACCTCCTCCACCCCACCGCTCCCCCTGCTCACTTCCTGTGCCTCGTCTCACACTGGCTCTCTCTCCCTCCCATCCTTCTCCCCTCCACGGTGCTACTCTGCAGAGGAAGTCCAAGAAGGTACGTGGGTGCCCCCAGTGCTCCAGCCAGAGCCCTGATCCTCCTCCCTTCTGTCCTTTCTTCCTCTCTCCCTCCTGCTTGCCATTCATGACTGACATGCACCATTGTTGACTAGCCCCGTCTGGCCTCTGGGTGGGCACAGAGTGGAGAGCCTGGCTCTGACAGAACTGACCTACAGGGCGCAGGCCCTGCTTCTGGTCTCCCTGGCAGAGAGTACTGAGGAACTTCGAAGGCATGAGACACCTCTGTGGCCCACCAGCAGGACTGAAGGGTGGGATGTGGCCAGCCTGGGCCGTGGGCAGAATAGGCCTTGGGAGGATGATGCCGGGTCCACTGTGACCCTCTGGATCTCCTGGAGTAGGGTGAAGAAGAGCAGAGGAAGGCAGGTGGGGCAGGCAACCCCCGCCCTGCCCCAGTTAGCAGTGGAACAGGGAAGCATGGAGTGAGGGTGAGGCCACAGGGAGGGAGGGGCCGGTAGGGTAAAGCAGAACGCTGGGCTGAGGCTCAAGGTGGGGATATCAGGGACTGGAACAGCCAGGGGCCATGCGTGCAAATGAGCAATCAGTGAGGCCCCAGCATCCCACCCGCTGCCTGAGCTAGCGCCAGACACACCCAGGGGTGAGGAGGCCCCCTGGGTGGGCCAGCTGAAGCCCTGGGTGGAGGGGCCTGGATCGGGGAGCACTTCTCAGCCCCTCCACTCTCTGCCCCGTGGGGCTGTTGGATTCCCCCACTGGGCCTGACCCCTGTGCTACCCAGACCACAGTCTTCCATCCATGGCCTGGACAAGACGGGACGTGGTGGGAGGGAGGGGTGGATGTCCAGGCCATACAGAGAAGGTGTCCAGGAGACAGTGGGCTCATGGGCACCAGGCCTCTCTGAAGCCAGCACTTGGACAGTGGGGAACAGACTGTGCAATGGGGACAGGAATAGGAGAGCCCCAGGACAGCTTTGCCACTCTCTGTGTGGCTGCTGACCCCTGACCCCTGCATGTGCCCCCTAACCCTCCATCACCCTACCCCCATCCACTGGGGGCCTACTTCTAGCCCTTGACAGAGGGTACGGGCTCACTCCTAGGCCCCCCCAGCCCTCACACCCCTGATGTCAGGGTGCCGTCAGCACCTGCAGGACAGTGGCCCAGTCCCAGGGCTCCAGTGGTGTGCAGCGGATTTTCAGCGACCCACAAGCTGAGGAGGGTGTGACGGGAACCTCAGCAAGGGGCTGGACAGGCAGCACCCGCACCCTGAGTCGGGCAGAGGGGGGATGGAGGCCACACGTATCAATGACCTCATCATCTATCATTGCCACCTAAAGCTCAGAGCAGAGACAAGGGGACAGAGCCAGTCCAGGCAGGCCAGTAGCCCAGTGCAGGGTCTGGAGGCCCTAGGGCAGTCAGAGGGGCCCAAAATAGCCTCTGAGACTGAGGGCAGAATTGCTGGCAGGTCAGGAATCCTTGTCCCAGGGAGCTCAGGCCTTAGCTTTGGGCCCAATGAAAGGTGCCATAGTGGACATTCTAAACTTGGGGGGAGGCTCCATGGGCTGAGGCCAGCAAGGAGCTGTACATAAAATCACTGATAGATTGAGGTCTCCGCATGCCAGAGGAGCCAAGACTTGATTAAAATAACCATTATGGGCTCGGCGCCTGTGGCTCAAGCGGCTGAGGCGCCAGCCACACACACCTAAGGTGGCGGGTTCGAATCCCCAGCCCGGGCCCACCAAACAACAATGATGGCTGCAACCAAAAAAATAACCATTTTGTGACAGGGTAGGTTCAAATGGACCCTGAAGGCCCAAGTCAGGACCCTAGGAGCTGCCTGAGGGCAGAGAGGCCTGCACCCACCCAAAGAGGCCTAAGTTGGGGGGGACTCTCCATGTCAGCAGTGTGGGACTGACCTAGGGGCACCCCTGGTTCTTGTGAGTGGGTCCCTGTGTCCCTCATACTCTTCACCAGACCTTTGGGGAAGAGCCTCCTTCCACTCTGTCCACAGACAGCAATTCTCTGGCCCTAGCTGGGGACGCTCCTGAATCCAGGCAAAGGCACCGGGGAAGAGAAAGTCCAGGCAACCGGGCCCTTACCCCCTCCCCTGCCCACTGGCCTGCTGCTCTCTGCAGCTGCCAGCATTTCTTGTGTGCTTGTGCCTTATGCTACAAAGACGCCATAGAGGAGGGCCTGGAAGGTCAGGGCTCCCTAAGTCTGCCTGCAAGGGACAGAGAAGACCCTCTGGGCTGCTCTGGGGCTGTCTACCCTCCTTTCTGCCAGGGACAGAGGCCTAGGTTAGCTGGGGCTCAGAGAGTGGCCCACACCTCGGAGGATAGCCATGGGGCTGAGTCAGCGGCCCTGGAGCCTGTGGGGTGCTTTCTCCTGAGTCCTTGTTTCCTGTCACCCTGTCTCCCTGTCCTGGGAGTATACTCACTCCTGCCTCTCCCCTTCCTACCTTTGTAGGACTCTGCACCCTTATTCCTCTTCCTTCCTTCCCTCCCCTCCCTCCTGGCCCCATAGGCTGAGCTCTTCTCCTTGGACACACCAAGGAGGCTTTCACAGCTAGGACGGGGCAAGACTCTCTTGTTTCTGGTGGCAGGGGGTGGGTGATCCTAGACGGGACCCAGGGAGCCCCCAACGAGGTGGTGCCTGGGTTGGGCAGCGACAGTGTGCAGCCCATCCTCACCTGTCTCTCTCCTCCTCCCCATGCTGGCCCTGTGCTGCAGAAGAGAAGCCGAGACCCAAGTGAGTGTGGGCCACAGGGCTGGACACTGAGTGGGGTGGGGGGAGTGGAGGGGCGGCTGCTCAGGGGAGGAGAAGCCCAAGTATGTGGGACTGACAGGTGCTGGGGTCGCCGAGGAAGTGGACTCCACAGGTCCAGGAAAGTGTGGTTCTGCCTTGGGCCCTCCAGCATAGGCCAGGAGGGCTTCCCGCAGAAGGAGGCTCCTGACCAAGGGAGGGGGGAAGGGGTGCTGCAGGGTGGGGAAGAGTCGGTGAGGGAAGGGGAAGCGGGATGCCAGGGACACTGAGGCCACAACCACCTGGGCCCCTGGGGACCTCACCAAGCCCAGCTGTACTGCAGGGTCTTCCAGGACCCCATATGTGAAAATAGACATGCAAGTGGGCTGGGAGGTGGGAGGGTGGAGGGTCTCACTCCACAACCCCTTCCAGAATGACACCTTCACGGTGCCCCAGATAGTTCACTACCCAGGCACTGCTAAGCCCCTTGGGGAGCAATTCTCTCCAGACAGTCTAGCCTTCCTCTCAGCCACTGGTGAGTGTTTCAGAGACATTTGTTCTCTCTCTTCACTCTCCTGGTTTGGATAAGGACTTACAAGCCCAGGGCACTCTTGACATGACCTCCTTTCCACTCCGCTGAGGGCCCTTGCCTGGGCTCTGCACTGCTGAGATGGAACTTTGGAGCGTGTTGGCACGTGCCTGTCACTTGCCCCCACGTAGGGAGGCCTCCCAGATTCGCGTAAGCAGGGGCACGTGGCGGGCACGGCCATCTCCACCCTCGCCCTTCACTTTGCAGCAATTTTAAGTAAAGTAATGCCGGATCACGGGATATTTTCTCGTTTTAGAAAAATTGTTTGTATTTTCATTATGAAAATAAAACACCTCATTAAAGAAAATTTGGAAAATATGTAAAAGTCAAATGAAGAAAAAAAATAATCTATAATTCTTCCACCCGACCAGCCAGACTGTGGAAAATAGCAGGAAGGAATAAAAAGGCTTATTTCTTCCTACTCTTTTTCCACGCATAGGGCTTGGAAAAAAAGATTTAAACTCTGTGCTGTTTTTCAAACATCATACTGTCCATGCAACCTTGAATTCTGCTTTTTTGAAAGTGCAGCACTATTCATAAGCATTTTTCCATGTTTTTACATGGTCTTCTTAAATATTGTGAATGGCCACACAATATTCCATCGATTGCACAAACCATAATTTTCCTAACCGTTCCCCTGGAGCAGGCTTTCCCCAATATTTTACTATCATAAATAACGCCGGGTGGAAGGCATTTTCCATCTTTAGGGTTATTTCCCTAGGCCACGTTCCCAGAACTGGAATTACTGGGGCCGAGAGTGTGAGTGTTCTGAGGACTGTGGCTTCCGCTGTCCAACTGCTTTCCACAGGGGCCCGGCCAGCTCCGGCTCCGACGTGGGACCCGAGCGGGTCTGGGCCCCACACCCCCCACCCGAGGACAGAAACCTGCTTTTACTTCCAGCCCTTGATGGATGGGCAGTGGCGTCGCGCGGCCGTTGCTCTCCACATTCCTGTGCTCGCTCGCGGGCCAACCTTCCCTGCGTGTTCACTGCCGTCTTTCTTCTCTGAGGGATGGCGCGCGGACGCCCTGTGCTCATTTATCTAATGGCGGAGGCGTCTCTATGTTTTCTTAACTGTCAGTTTGCATAAGGATATAAGTCTTCTCTGTATTTGCTGAAAATATTTTTTTAGTCTGGTTTTTTGGGGGGTGAGATTTTTTCTTGCCTCTTGGCTTTTGCTGGTTTTGCATACATACGTTTTTCATTTCATGGAGTCATCTGGCTACCCTTCCCGTGGAGGGACCTTCTGGTGCTTGGGGGCTTAGAAATCCTCTCCCACTCCAGTTTTTGATCAATATTCAGTTGCACTTTCTTCCAAGGCTTGTTTTAAAAAATTGTTGTTGCTGTTGTTTTAACTCTTTGCTCTGTCTGGAATGCATTGGTGGGAGGAGGGGTCGCACCCCAGCCAGATGGGGGCCCACTTCCCCTTCAGAGTGCTTCTTCCCAGCTCCCCCCTCCTTCCTCTGGCCCAGAGAATCACGAAGGGTTTCAGCAGCTGGTCCTGACCACAGAGGATGGTGCTGCCTGGGAGGGCCATCTAGCCCTCTGACCCGACTGGGACGTGGCATTTGTTCATTTGTTTAGGAACAAACTGAGGTTCTGTCCTGGGCAGTGGGGTGAAGCAGCGGGGAAGCTGCAGAGCAGGGCACTGGAAAGTGGACACCTTCTCCAGGGGCAGGGCAGGTTAGAAATTGGATGAGGAAGCTCAGGCTATGTGCCCACAGCCAGAGGATGGTGGACAGTGCTGGTGACTGGGGCCGGCAGGGTCAGACGACCCTCTGGAAAGGTCCCCAGTGGTCCCTGCTCACCAGTCTCTCTTTCTCTCTCCTTTAGACTCACTGCTCCTAAGATCCCGGAAGGAGAGAAAGTAGACTTCGATGTAAGTTTGTAAGACTCAGACCAGAATAGTCACCCCCAAAACTATAGCCTTCCACCACCACCTTAGGCCTCAGGAGCTCATGTCCTCCCTGGTTCCAGGCAATTCTACATGATTCATTTCTGGACCACAGGACAATCCCTAAGGATAGACATCTCCCTTCCCTTCTCTTTCATACATTTGTCTATCTACTTATCCACCCATCCATCCTTCTATTCATCCATCTCCCCACCCACCCACCCACCCATCATCTGTACACCCACCAACACACCTATCCATCCATCCATCCTCCCATTCATCCACCCATCCTTCCACCCACCCACCCATCCTCCCATCCATCCACCCATCCATCCACCCTCCCATCCATCTATCCATCCTACCATACACTCACCCATCCACTTATCCTTTCATCCACTCATCCATTCACCTACCAATCCACCCACCTACCTATCCATTCATCCATCCATCCATCCACCTACCCATCCACTTATCCTCCCATCCACCCATCCATTTACCTACCAATCTACCCACCCACCCATCCATTCATCCATCTATCCACCCATCCACTTAGCCTCTCATCCGTCCTCCCATCCAACCATCCACTTATTCTCCCATCTACCCACCCACCCATCTACCTATTCACTTATCCATCTACCCATTCTTTTACCCTCCCATCCATTCACTCGCCCACCAACTCCCCCCCCACCCACCTCCCCACTCATGCACCTTCCCACCCATCCATCCATCCACCATCACTCACCCACCCACCCCGTCACACATTCATCTGTTCACTAACCTGTCCATCTCTCCGTCTGACACATTGTCTCCCTGGCAGTCTTCTCTCTGCCAGCCCCATGAAGGGTACCTCTGATGGTGGTGACAGAGCCAGTCCCTCCCAGGTTGCTGGCAACTTGTCAGGGCTGGGCCTGGGTTTGCCTGCAGGAAGGGCACCACCCCTGCCTGCAGCACAGGGGCCAGGCTGTGCTAGGCCCCCCAGAGGACAGCAGAAAGACCCTCACCACTGCCAGCTTTCATGGGACCGATGAGTCAGGGCTTCTCTGTGGCCTCTCCCCCAGGACATCCAGAAGAAGCGTCAGAATAAGGACCTCATGGAGCTGCAGGCCCTCATCGACAGCCACTTTGAAGCCCGAAAGAAGGAGGAGGAGGAACTGATTGCTCTCAAGGAGAGGATTGTGAGTGCAGGACTCCCACAGGACAGGGCAGGTGTACACACCAGGAGGGTGGCAAGGCTGGGCCAATGCACTCCTCCCGCCACAGGAGAAACGTCGGGCAGAGAGGGCTGAGCAGCAGAGGATCCGTGCTGAGAAGGAGAGGGAGCGTCAAAACAGACTGGCGGTGAGGACAGCCCCCAGCCCCCAGCCGCCAAGCGCAGGACCTTCTTTCTCCCAGTGTCCCACCGGCATCAGTCAGTGGTTAGAATCACTGGTTAAGGCTCCTGCCCTGTGGGACCCCTTTGGAGGTCCTGGCCAGGACTCAGAGCTTCCTTTCAGCAAGTTCTAAACCCAGGGTGGGTTCCTGGGGCCTGCGCAGAGAGCCTTCCCTTGTCCTATCCTGAGGGGCTTGGGCACTGGGTTTCCACAGGAGGAAAAGGCCAGGAGGGAGGAAGAGGATGCCAAGAGGAGAGCTGAGGACGACCTGAAGAAGAAGAAGGCTCTGTCTTCCATGGGCGCCAACTACAGCAGCTACCTGGCCAAGGTGAGCGCGCCACCCAGAGCCTGGGGCCGCGGCCCGCATCTGCCACAGGCCCCATCTGAGACCTGGCCACCTGCCTTGGTCCTGACCCCTCCAGGCTGACCAGAAGAGAGGCAAGAAGCAGACAGCCCGAGAGATGAAGAAGAAGATTCTTGCTGAGAGACGCAAGCCGCTCAACATTGACCACCTCAGCGACGACAAACTGAGGTGAGAGGGTGGCGGGTGGGGCCGCCTGCTCAGCTGGCAGCTCAGACACAGGCTGGCCTGAGGTGCTGCTGCCCTTCCTGAGGCCACCAAGGACCCACATTGTGGTGGCCACAAGAGGACAACAGGATCCTGGGCCTCACCTTGTCACCTCCCCAGGGACAAAGCCAAGGAGCTCTGGGACACCCTATACCAACTTGAGACGGACAAGTTTGAATTTGGGGAGAAGCTGAAACGCCAGAGATATGATGTGAGTCCAGGCACCACTGGCCAGGGAAGCCACCTCCCTGCAGCCTCATCACCCTCTCCTGTCCTCCACCCTGAGCCATCAGCCCAGCAGCCTTGTAGCAGAGTGGTGTGGCCTCAGAGCCCATTTTCTGACCCCTCCTGCTAGACTTATGGGACATTCCCAGGGTTGCTGAGCTCATGTCCAGGCTCCCAAGTCCCTCTGGTGCAGGAGCATGCCCCCATAGCTTCTGCCTGGCAATGTCTGCTTTCCCAGAGAGGGTGAGGGGCGACATACTCCTTCACTTGCTGTAGGGATGGGGTCCAGCTTGGGAAGGGGAGTAGCCTTTCCAGTAGACATTGCTGCAAAGGACAGAGCCAGGGATGGGGAGGTGGGTTGTAAAGCTGTGTGGGTGCATCAGGGCCATCTTCCCCCTCTGAGGCCCCATCGTGGCCCTGGGAGGGTGGGGGCCAGTCTTGGGTGGTCAATGCTACCAGTGTGAACATAGACACTCCCCACTTCCATCAGAGCCATGTGGCGCACCCCTCATGGACGTTCAGGGTTGCTGGGGAAGGCAGGCTGTACTGGAGGGGCATCTTCAACAGGGCTGCCCTCAGGTCAGACCCAGCTCCGGCTTGGGTATTCAGGGCAAGCCACTCTGTCTGCCTGTGCCTTGGTTTCCTTACCTCTAGCAGAGGCAGGACAAATATGCCCTTTCCTGGAGCTATCCCAGGAGACATATCCCTGTAGACCAGTGAGGTCCAGGTGACAGTGCTGACCTAGCCCTAAGGGCTGTCCCAGGGAGGCTGGCCCTGACATGGGCCTTACTGCAATGAGCCGAGGCCAGCCCCTTGGTGTCCTCAGAGCTGAGTCGGAGTCCCACCGCTTTCTTTTTTTATTTTTATTAAATCATAGCTGTGTACATTAAAGCAATTACAGGGTACTACCGCCTTCGGACACACTGGGTCCACAGAGGTCCTTGGGGCCTCAGAGAGCCTGGAGGGCCACGGTCAGCCTGGCCTACTGCACAATGGGGCCTTGAGGCCTCATGGCCCATCCAGCCACGTAACCATCTTGGTCTTTCTAGATCATGAATGTCCGGGCCAGGGTGCAGATGCTAGCCAAGTTGTGAGTAGCCAGAGCCCACACGGGCCAGGCTCAGGGTGTGCGATGCACGGTGAGCCTCTCGCATGGCAAAACCCAGGTCGCTCGGGATGCTGACAGAAGGACCAGAGCCTCCTTCCTGCCCCACCTCCTCCCTCAGGCCTGTGGCCTAGTGGCTTCTGAGCTGCCCTCGCTGGCAGTGAGGGAGGGCTTCACCCTCCTGGCCTCCTGCACCAGCCTGGAGCCTCCCCCACGGGCATCTCCAAGGCTCCGTCAGGGGGAGCAGGAGGACCACCTGCCTGGCCAGCAGGGAGTGGGGGCTGGAAGGAGGCACCTGTAGGCCTTACTGTACTTGGCCACCCCGCCTCACATCCTGTGCAGGCTGGAAGGTAAGTGGCCGGCTCCAGGGCTGTGTGTGCGGGAGCCTGGGCCAGTGTAGGCAGCAGAGTGAGTCAGAGCCGTGCACCGGGGGCCTCGGAGCCAAGACACAGTAAGGACACACAGAGGCTGGAGCACCATGGTCCTGCCTCCCCTGCGGTGAAGAAGGGCGTCCACTTGGCCTGTGCCCAGCTTGGCCCTCCCGGGCCCTTCACAGTAAGTCACCTGTGTTGTTCACAGATCACCAACCTCAGAAGCCGCATCGACCAGGCCCAAAAGCAGTGAGTACTCTCGCCGCACCCCGCTCCAAACTGGCACAGGGTCCCGCTCCTCACCTGAGGCCAGGTCGTGTCAGCCGACCCCTAACCAGGGCCAGGCAGGTGGCCTCGGCACAGCGGTCACCAGACGAACCTGCCAGGGTGCTAGGCCAGCATGTGTAGCCTTGTGTCCACAAAGGCCTGCTCATCTGCACACAGGCAGCTCTGGGTCATGATGGAGGCAGGAGGAGGGAGCCAGGCAGGGCCCCTCCAGGATGCCCTCGCCTGTATCTGCCACTGGCTGTGGGAGAGGGCAGATTCTGGAGTGGCTGGCTAAGCCAGCCTGGGCTCCTGGATGTCCCAGCATCCTTTCACCCTCAAAGGTGACCTGACAGGGAAATTAAGAGGCTAGGCCCTGTCACCAGCTGTCTGTGACGTTCAGGAAAATGATTCCTCAGGATGGTGACTATGAAACTGTGTCCCAGGGGGGGTGGCAGATTTCTTTAGGACAGCTGCCCACCCAGGGTTTGTACCTAGGTGCCTGAGGTGACTTCATGCTGGTGCCCACCATGCCGCCAGCTGTCCCCTGGCACTTGCTCCCTCTACCCATGGGCCCGGCTTCCTTGCTGCTTCCAGAAACAGCCCCTCCTCCATAAAAGGGGAGCTGGTAAAGAGGGCCACATGGCCTCCCTGGTCCCTGCTGAGTTCAGGGCCCATGGCAGGCCCCTTTGAAAGGAGTAGTGCACGCGTGTGTGCATGTGCACGTGTGTGAGCATGTCCACGTGGGTGAGGATATGCAGGATCATGTGTAAGGGCACAGCCTTCACCAGACACTCTCATCCTCCTGGGCCTGACCAGCCCCAGCTCCCTCCTGGCTCACTGGCCATACAAAGGGCCTCAGACAAATGAGGCAGCCCCTGAGGACCACTGTCCCTGGAGGCTGTTGCCCAGAAGGAGCCAGAGCATCTGGGAGGATGGGAGTCACCTGCCAAGATAGCCTTCCCCATGGGGGCTTATCTGCACGGCCCCTCTGGCAGGACGGGGAGGACGAGGGAGGGCCCCTGGGGCATGCAGGGTCCCGGTTCGCTCACAGCCTCCTCTCCTAACCACACTAACTGCCGGGCCCTGACGAGGCCAGGCACAGGTGAGTCAGCACCATGTGGACTGAAGCTGGGTGTGTGTGCAAGGACACCATGGCCTCACCTGGAGCAGTCAGGGTCTTCCCTGGCTGTCCTGAGGCTGGGAGCCAGAGAGGTGGCCTGACTTGGCGGGTCCTGCCCTCACCAGACATTCTGTCACTCAAGAACGATTTGCTTCCCATTTGCAGCAGCAAGAAGGCTGGAACACCCGCCAAAGGCAAAGTCGGTGGGCGCTGGAAGTAGAGGGGCAGAGGGCCCCCCCCAGGCAGAGACCCTCCACCCCCACTCTCCCTCAGGCCCACTCGCCACGTACCTCATCCTCCAGCCCCCAAGACGAAGCTCCTTCGGTGGCTGCATGACAATCTTGGGGGCAAAGGGGCCCTCCCGGAGCACCCCCTGAGTCTCTGTCCTTGTTGTTCCTGGACCCTGGGGTCTGTGAATAAAGCCAGCAGACCCCCCTCCACCAGCATGTGCTCACTTGTGAACAGGCCTTGGGGAGACAGCTGAGATGGGGTGGGGGCAGCCTGGGTACAGAGCATCTGGGTGGTACCTACCTCAGGGGCCAGCTCAGGAGAGGAATGGCCAGCACATGTCACCTGCTGCTACCACCATGCCAGATGGTGCCTTGAATGTAGGACCCAGACACCACATCTGGGCTCTCAGTCCAGAAGGCTCCTCTGTTCCCCACCCCAGCTCACATGCCCTTCAGCATGCTGCTCTAAGGGGGTCTTTGCCCTTTGGGGCTGAATGGAGGGGGCAGCGCCATGGGACACTTTGCAGACCCTAGGAAAGTAAGGGCAGATCCTGAGCCACCCACCTCCATGCTGCACCCCGAAGCCCCTCTGAGGAGCCCGGCCCACTGGGGAGGAGTGACGAAAGGCACGTTCCCACCAGGCAGCAGGCGCGCAGCACAGATGGTTCCTTACCCTGAGAAAGAGCACAGTGCACAACTGTGTGACAGACATGAAAACCTGAGCAAATAGAATCATGGAAAATATAAATCACAGGGATCAGATCAAGACACGGGCCTGTGCGGTGCAGTGCTCACAGAGGAGGCCAGGGCAGCAGGCACGTCTGCACTGCTGTCGGGCAGGTGGGGCTGGAGGGGCCAGCCAGGACTCTGAGGGCAAAACGGAATCCCCACACCACACACACCCCAGCCGTGGCCCTCACGCTTCTGCCTACATGGGCACAGTCCCCACAGGCCCACACCCCCTCACACTCCACACCCCCCACCAAAGAACAGTCCTCCTTGTGGGCATACGACAGGCATATTACAGCAGGATTGAGGACGAATCTTGGGACCACGGATGCTTCATCCCAGTAATGCAAAGATGGAGACCTTAGTGTGTGGAGGGAGGGAACCCACTGTCCGCTGTTGCCGTCCCGCCACATGGTCTCTCTCTGAAAGCTCTCTGAGTAGCAGGATGGGCAGGATGCAGCCAGCTGAGCTGGGGACAGAGACAGTCACCATGCAGGGACTGAGGGCTCAGCTCACCAGCAGCCAGGGATGCAGAATGCTAACGGAGTCATGACAATGGTGCTACCACGGGGAAAATGAGCATGTCTGTGAGTGCAGCATGCATCCCCGCGCAGCCGCAGCCCTCTGCATGTGGTACAGAGGGTGTCTGCAACCAGAACGGTCAGCCCTGGCAGGGTGGACACTGACAGAATAGCTGTGGAAGGTTGGCCAGAGGTGCCCCCAGGCTGGGCCTTAACACAGGCTCCATCCAGCAGCACAAGGCCACCATTAGCCCCTGTAAGAAGGCGATTCCCAGTGTGGGTTAAGAAATATAAAAACACACCAGGGGCTCTCAGGCCACAGAGAAGGTGGTAAGTTGAGCAGGACACAGGCAGCGTGGTCGGCATGGCAGAGTCACCCACAGAACTCCAGGTGCAGCCCCAAGTCTGGCCTATATTAGAAAAGGGTGAAAAATTCAAATCTGAGTGAATTGTACATCTAACTTAAGAAATGAGAACATGAACAAAAAACTAAAATCAGGAAAAAGTGAAACATGGAAAAAATAATAAACAGAAGTTTACCAGGACCAAGAATTAATGGAGGGGATCGGCCAGGCCAAAACCTCTCTGGGGAAGGGCGAATGAGGCGGCGGCTCAGCAGGGCGGGGAGGCGCAAACAGCATTCGGATGACAGGACGGCCTCACTTCAGACACTGCAGAGATGGAATTTGCAGTAAGAGAACACCATAAACAACTTTCTGAAAACACATTTGAAAACTAAATAAAATAGCCAATTCCCAGGAGCACTATAACTTATGGAGTTGACTCAAGGGAAAGCACAAACCCTGAATAGACTGATTCATTGTAAAGACATGGAGCTAGCAGTTAAACGTCTCCTACCGAAAAGCGCTATGAATTTTTAAAAATTACATTTTGACCCAGGGGGCCCTTTTAATGCAAAGAGAGTTTTACATGAGAATACTGAATTTCACGGGTTACATGCTCCCAACACATGGACAGTTTACGGACCACACGAAAAGAATCGGGTGAAACACAGCACTATTCACGAACACTTCTGGCCAATTAAGAGCAGAAGGGACCCTGTCTCTGGAGGAGGTGTCATTCTGAAACCTATGGCAAACCGTTCTCTGCTGTGACACCTCAGAGAGCCCCGAGTCAGGCAAGATCAGAGTGGTTTCTACTCCCAAGTCCCCTCTTCACCCAGAGTCTGAGACAAGACAAGGAAAGTTGTGTTTTGTTTTGTTTTGTTTTTTTAAGAGACTGGTAGACAAGAGGGAAAAAAGCTATCGCGTTCATAGCAATGTAACTGTCTTGAAGGAAACCTCAGAGAATCTATGATCCTAAGTTACCAGAACGGAGCTGAGCTCCACGTACCACACAGTCACGGCACTTCCTTGCCTGCTGGCAACAAAGTGGGAAGAGACATGACGTGTGAAGATGCTGTGTGAAATGGAAACTTTAAAATGTGGGATAGTGTGTCTAACAAACTATGCCCAAGACAATTGCAGAGAAAGTAAAAAAACAAAAGTAAAGCTTTTAATGTCTTTAGTGAAAGACATTAAAGAAAACTGGGGTGACTGGAGACGGTTACTATGTTCCAGGAGAGCATGGAAGAAAGAGTGACCCCACACCATGTGTGAGAGCAGGGCAGGGCAGGGCGGGCACTATTCTCATCCGAGAGCCACAGGGATGGGACGGCTGCCACCAGGTCTTGAAGAGGGGGACAGAGATTGGGCTCAACTCTGAACACAGCCCTGGCCAGCAGGGATTCAGAGCCAAGGAGCGGGGTGGAGAATCCCAGGCCTCCGGGATTCTGGCTGAGCCAGAGAACAGGATTCTTGCTAAATGAACTTGGAAGGTCAGGCAAGGGTGATGAGATGTCCCCACGGTGGTGGCGGATGAGAACTCAGTCAGATACTGAGGGGCTCTCCCTAGGCAGGCTCAGCCGGGATGTGTGGGACTGGGTTTCAGGAGGATGTACATGGATGGGCCTGTGAGACACCAACTCAATTTTAGTCAAGCAGAGAATCTCCATCAACACAAAGATGTAACCTTACAAATGCCGGTTCTTCCTAAATCAACCTGTGAATTCGGGACAATTCAACCACATTCCAACAGGGCTTCCTATGGAAATAGACAAACTGGCTCTAAAATTAATGTGGAAGGAATGGGGCCGTGTCAAGGGAAGGCAGTTTTGAAGAGCAGACCAAGGCTGGGGAGGGGCTGTGCTCCCAGCACTTGGGGGGTGGCGGGATGTCGGCTTTCAGGTGGTGCAGAAAGGAGAGATGGAAGACTCTGCACGACAGAGGGCTTTGGTGGCAGGAAAGGATGGCGCCAAACAGCCACAAGTTCATGGTTTTCGCCAAATGAAAGTACTGCCCTGACTCACACCATCCCCTCAGAAATTAATTTCTGCTCACTTAAAGACCAGCACATGACAAAGAAAACATTGCAACTTAAAAAGTAGGGGGAGGGGAGAGTGTCAGAGAGCTCTCCTAACACGGAGTATTTCTTAAACAAGTTATGACTTCAAACCTTAAAACTAGGGATTGAGTAAAGTTTTAGTGAATGCACTTCTCTGCATCAAAAGACACCATAAGCCACACAAAAAGCCAAGCCATTGCTTGGGAGGAGGCATTTGGGTTTTTGTTTTTGTTTTTAAGTTTTTTTTAATTAATTCATAACTGTCATCAATGTATTTATGGGGTACAATGTGCTGACTTTATATACAATTTGGAATGCTTACATTACACTGGCTAACATAGCCTTTACCTCACTGATTATTGTGTTAAGACATTTATACTCTTTTTTTTTTTTTTTTGAGACAGAGCCTCAAGCCATCCCCCTGGGTAGAGTGCTGTGGCATCACAGCTCACAGCAACCTCCAACTCCTGGGCTCAAGTGAGTCTCCTGCCTCTGCCTCCCAAGCAGCTGGGACTACAGGCGCCCACCACAACACCCGTCCATTTCTTGGTTGCAGCTGTCATTGTTGTTTGGCAGGCCCAGGCTGGACTCGAACCTGCCACCTTAGGTGTATGTGGCTGGTGCCTTAGCCACTTGAGCCACAGGCGCCGAGCCGACATTTATACTCTTAATAGATTTGATATGTATCCTTGCAATATGCACCATAGGTGAGGGCCCACCAATTACCCTCCCTCCACCCACTCTCTCCCCTCCCCTCCCCTTGGAACCCAATGCACTGTGGAAGAGCTGGGACGAGCTGCCATGAGGGCTGCTGAGTGGCTCTCCAGGGACAGAGCCTGGGTGCTCAGTGTTATGTGGGAATCAAATTAAAAGTACAGATTAGGTGACCAACATGTGAACAGCAGTCAGGGGAAGGAAAACCTCACTTTTGCAGAAGAACACCAGCTGATGATGGAGACGGAATAGCAGAACTCGGAAAGTGCCATTTTGAAACCATTGGTGTGATGGGTCCTGGAGGCAAAGGTTATCAGGGGACATCCAGGCTGGCGAGTGAGACACTCATGGTCTCAAAGCACCACCTTACAGATTACTCATGAAGTTAAAATGGTCCCTTGAGAACAGAGAAGGCCAGCAGACCCCACGCTCTCTAGCTGATCCGTCCACAGCGTCACCGATGTCTCCCAAGCAAGACTTCTGCCCCAATCTCCCACCTGAGTAAACCATGAGGAAACAGCATGTCCAGACCACAGGCCTTGTCAGGACCACTGGCTCAGACTTTCTAAAACTGTCCTTGACTTACAAGCCTTAAAAAAAAAAAAAAGTGGTGGGGTGTTCTAGAGTAAAGGGGGCTAAGGAGAGGTGACAATGAAGCAACATGTGAGCCTTGAGAGATGTCACA